TGCACCAAGCTGCAGTCAATAATGCCACTCCTCTTTTGAGAGAGGGCTTTGAAATATCTCCTGATGAGAAAGAACAAGATAATGGAATTAATACAGACAAAAATAAAGCAGGGATTTTCAAAATGTCAGTTGACAAAAATGTCATTTTAGCTGAACAAGAGTTTCCAGCAATGAATGATGTATGTACAGACTCACTGAACCATGAAAGAGAATGGACAGACATTTAAGTGAAGCAAAGCTGACTCATTCTTAAACCCACATTTTTACATCAAGGTTCCTCAGAAGGCCAGCCTGCATCGTCTCTTCAGTTCTGCTAAGCAGCCGTAGAAAGGTAGATGAAGGGGAAAATCAGCTAATTATACTAAAAACAAATAATGATGAAAAGGTAAAAACAAGTTGATTGTTTGATTTTCATACAGTGCTTAGGCCACAACAACCACTCCCTAAACATGAAGCTGAATTACACATTTATCTTTTACTCTGGAGCTTCATCCCTTTTAATTGTGCTGAAGCAGCATTGTGGTCAGCAGCCTCCTCCCAGTCTGCTCCTCTCAGTCTGAGAGCCAGCGAGGAGTTGCTCTTCTCCTCCCTATATAATTACTTGCCACTGTCCCAGCATCAGCTCTGCACACCTGCTCTGAAGGGGAGTACAATTCAAGAGACACTACAGTGCCCCTCTGTTACCAGGATTCTTCCAGTCTCAAACTGCCAGCAGGGATCTACATCACACATTTTCCTTCAGGAGCTCTTAATTGTTTGCAGTTTTATCAAACATCTCTCTTTTAATGCAGCCAGAGACCAGCCTCTTCGACTCCCATCTCTTATGCCAGCATCTCCATTTGACTTGATTTACAGTTAGAAATCACAGGCCATTTAGTAATGTCAATCAAAATGATCATTAAAATGGTGCTTAGGGCAGTGCCTACAGAGAGCTCAACAGGACTTTGCCACTCCAGTCATGAAAGAAGCATTTAGGTAGGAGACTGGAAATGATATAATTGTGGTGAGATTTCTAGCATTTGTATAACTGATAAGACCATTAAAAGGTGATGTAGTGGTGGTCATATCTGCAGTCATCGTATGTAACACAGCAATGACGTATGTAGGTGCCACTGGTAATCACATGAATTAGAGGAAATCACTCCTAATGCAGCAAGCACTATCACTGAGAACATAAGTTAGAAGCTACCAGGATGATTTTCTTTTTCACAGTCATTCAGCAGCAACACCCACCAAAAAACCTAACGAAATCCCATCTTATAGGGCAGTCATTGAATGAAAGCCACTTCTCACAGAAACGAAGCTCGAAAATGAAGAAGTCCTTTATTTTTTCCAGACCATAAAAATCAAGTCCTCTGCCAACTCCTTGATGAAGCATGGGCATGACTGACCAATGCTGCTGTTCTCTTTCCCTTGACAGTGCATATCCCTCCACATATCCCTTGTATGCTTGCTGCAAAATAAGACTGTTCACAGGCCATCCTCAGGCTTTTGTGTCAATTTATTTCTGATCCTCCTTTGAACTCTCAGAAATGATGGTATGCTTATGATACCTCTGCTGAAGAGAGTAATGTTGTCTGCATCCTTCAAGACTTGACTGTTGGATCCCAAAATATAATATCTGCAGAGAGAGATTTGAGTGGTCTTTGCAAAAAGTCATGGGCTACAGAAGCTCGGAAAACCCCTTTTTCATTGACCTCATCCTTGTGGATTCTTCCTGCCTTCTCCAGCAGAATGTGAAGAGACTCCTTGCATGATGTTATCACATACCCTGCCCAAGCCAGAGAGTCCACACCCTGATCTCATCAAGCCAGTGCAGAAGACTTACTGTGTTTTATCTCTCCCTTTGTGTTCCCTGGATCCTGTGCATTCTGCAAACCTGAATACCTCTTTCCCCCATGTAATTCCCCTAGGATAAGATGGGTTTTCCCCTATGATGTATAAGACCCCAAATTTGTTAACCTGGGTTTTTCCCTTATGTCATCCCCTGAAACCCCCTGTTAGTAATAAATTGTAATAGTTACAACCCCCTGTTGAATATGTAGACCCTAAACCCTTTAAATATGAACTTGTAAGTCCAATAAAGCATTCTAGTTTTCTGCCCCCACTGGGATCGTCGAAGTTATTGACTCACTACACTTCACCTTATTTTTAATACCGGCTGTCTTATAGCTAGGGGAGCTGAGGCACAGAGCAAGAGCTCAGACATTATGTGCACAACGCACATTTTTGACAGAATCTCAGTGCCCTCCTACCTTTCCCTGGAGAGAATTCACACTTCAGCTTGGTGAGGGGGACTTCAGGTAAGAGTCTCCCACACCACGCCCTTTCTGATACCCAAATCTGAGATGGCCTAGCCAGGAAACTCCCCACTTGGATCCAAGTTCTGCAAGGAGGACCACAGGTTGACATGAAGAGTATCTGGAGGTAAGAAGATGACCAGCTAATGTCATCTTCCGATAAAAGATGTTCTTTGCTGGCACAGGTGTTGTCTGTACTAATACACCAGAAAGCAATGATTCCTGTTTGAAGGCGATCAAAAAAGAAGAAATATTCATTCTCTGTGTAAATGCAGCCCAAATACATGACTGGTCAATGCATCATACTAATCCTTTAGGTTTTGTGCTGGTTTTTCTATTTTTTATTTCAAGTCATCTTCGAAGAGTTGAAGTTTCTCTGGATTTTAGTTTCAAAACGAGTAACAGCATGCATTCAGTTTAAGTAGCTCTGTAACTGCATACTGCAAGATTTTCGTGAATTCAGGTGTTGCCAAATAAAACTACTAAGGCCAAAATGTTTATTTCCTTGCTTTTGCTTTTAACAATGATAGCAAGTAATCAAGAATCTATCTGCAAGAATCTGATTTTTTTCCACAGACATAAAACCTTTGTAAAAAATACTCTCAATGTTGCTAGCAGCCTGTAAGACAACACAGACTGAGTGAAGATTGACATTACTAGATGCACTCTTCTGCTCAAGAAGAGACCAGTGGCATTTAATCAGCATTTTCCGAGAAGGTCCAAGCAGTCACGTTGAGGAAGAAACTTTTGTGCCTGGGACAGTGATTGGAACAAGGAGTGGACATCCCTGCATGAAAAGCATGTTTGTCTTTTTTGCATAGGAACTTTGCACTCCTTAAAATATCTCCATAAAAGTATTGTGGTTTGGATAGGTAGATGGAAGAGAGAGGCCTTCCCTAACATTTAACCTGTCACCATCACTCCCAAATAGAAAGAGCAGTAGTAACACAGCCAGTACTAACACGAAAGCATCTTAATAAAAGTGAAGAAAGACCACAACACATCTCTGTACTTGCTCATAGACCAGTAAACTCAAATTTGCCACAAGTAAGACCACGACAACAGACTGACTTGCTTTTTCTGCTATCAAAGCATGTGGGAAAGCTGTAAAAAGCACACATAGAAGGGAAAGAAGGATGGATTTTGCTGTTGCTTATGCCCTTTTAGCTCACTCACAAGCACCAGGAATGGAAAGAAAACAAGGCTGGCTGATTGCAAGGAGCAATGACATTGTCTGCAGGCCCTGCACACAAACAGTGCTGAGAAGCTGTGGAGAACAGGTTTGACTTTGCTATCAAGAAACTTGTTTATGCTTTCTAGAAGAGCGAAACCCATAGCATGAGGTGTCACACAAAACCCTGCAACACTACAGAGAAGGGGCTGAAGAGTTTACAAAAGGAAATAAAAGGGAAGTTTGGATTTTGGCTGTTTTCTCTTCAGTTCTGCTTCACAAGCCCATCCTTGCATAATGCAGGCCAGTACTTGCTTCCTTTCCTCAGAAATATTAGGGAACCTCCAAAATCCCCTATGGGGAGGCTGGCTCCTGTCTGCTCCTGCTCTGATTTTTTTGCATAAATGCGTATGCCACAACCTCCTCTCCACAGTCACATGGAGTCAATCCATTCATTTCCTCACTAGCTTAAACTCACATCCTCCACACCCAGAGGTCACCCAAGCAGGGTGCCTGTTTTGTGACTACACTGGCAGAATGTTTTGCATTTGACAAGGCAGTTCTATGAAGATGTCCCTGCTCATTGCAGAGGAGTTTGATTAGATGACCTTTAAACATTCTTTCCAACCCAAATACTTCTATGGTTCAATGAAAATCCAAACACCAAAAAGAGCATATTTTTGGTGGCAGCTGCACTGGCTAATGATCAACACCTTTTAACCCCAGACTTTGATACGCATTTTGTTTCAGCTTTAGACTAAAACCATTTTAGAGTAAGCACAGCCTATTTTTAACATTACCGAAATAAAATATTTCATCATTTGTGCTCTGAATTCTTGTTATAATTTTATTCTGATGGGGGAAATAATTTCAGAAGTCCTCATGTAACCAAAAATTGTAGAAAAAACTCAAGGATTTGTCTTCTTTAAGACACTTAAACAGCTTTGATAGAATAAATTCACCACATTGTTCAGTCAGTAGCTCATTCCACAAACCCATAGGAACGTGCCAGATTTTAGGAAAAAAGATAGCATGAGAAGCGAAATTTCAGTAAAGTGATGACCGCTTTTGCTGAAAACTACCGGTCAAAAGCAGGATTTTTTTGCTGTTGGTTTTTGTTTTTTCTTTTTTTTTTTTAAATCTGCCCTTTGTTCATGACAATTTGCCCAGCAAATAACTTTTGTTGCTTCTATAGCGTAAAGGACTGCAGTATTTTATAGACTATCACAAGAGACTATGTGAATAAAATTTAAGTGATCAAACATCACATCAACATTTATGAAAGGTCAATCTTTAAGTGATAACTATTTAGCAATTTGCATCAGAGACTGAGAAAGTAACGTCAGTATTAGATACCAAAGATTCTGCTGAATTTTAATTTGCATGATTTTTTTTTTTTTAATTCCAGGAATGGGTGTGTACAGAGGCAGAGCAACTATTACTTGTGTCATAAGCAGAAAAAAAAAAGTCCGCCTTTTCTCTAAGGTGATTCACAATGAAGACCTCAATCACAATACGATATGACTGAATGCAGCCTGAATTTTCAGGAGGGCACATGCCCAATTCTTGAAGTTCACACCAGCATAATTCACTGCATGTGTAGTGTATGATGTATACGCCTCCAGGTTCCTGGAAAAATGTAAAAAGAGCTCTAAAAATGTCAAAAACTTGTACAGAAATAGCTGCAGAAAAGCTGATACTGCCCAACAATGGAGCAAATAGGTAGCTAGTATCAATGTTAATTTAAGTGACACCTAAAAAAATCTGCCACGTTTTCTAGACCAGAGACCAAAAGATTCCATAAAGTTACTGCTTTGGCAAAAGCAAAACGAAACACTGTAAAAAAAAAAAAAAAGAGATAATAATAAAAGAAAAATCAGTGAGATCCATCACAGCAGAAGCCACAGCTGCCTGGTCAGTGAATGGCACACCTATAGGTGAGTGTACTCCAACAAGAGCAGCAGCTGCTGAGGACTCTGTAGGGGAGACCTCATGCAGACCCACGGCCAGACGTGATGTTTGAAAGAAAGTGTGTTTCTCCTTTGTGACTGCAAATGCTGACAGTCCCACTCAGACAGACCGCGGCTGGGGAGCAGAACATAACTGGCCCCAGCTGTGTTCATGCAGACAGTGGTTGTTTAAGAAAAAAGACATGCTTTATTACCCGCAGCTTAGGAGACGGCCTCCACTGTCTGCACTGGCTTCCTTATCATATTGGGCTGCAGACTTACACCAGGCAGAAGTAGCTCAACCATGTCCCAGCCTATTGACTAGAGCTGATATGCCCAAAAGAGACTGTAGCACCTTTGTCCTTTACTTCTCCCTAATTAAAAAAAGAAAAAAAAAAGAAAGCTGTTTTTAAGGTTCTGGTTTCAGCCTTGCCAGGGATCTCAGTCAATTCCACTCTTGCATTTGCTACATAGAAATCAAAACTCTGTCTTCCTTTGTAAAACAATTAATTTTGCAGATGAAAGCACTACAATGGAAGTTAATATAATTATAAAAATCTGAGTATTCATTACTAGATTTCTTGCCTTGTCTCAAGACATCAAGAACCATGCCCTCTCTTTTACTCACAGCACAGAAAGTTTCATCTCCTTCCACAGAAGATGAAAACAATTTCATAATGCATTATTCTAAACACAAGTCTTTGGTTTTGAGCAATTTCTTCCTTTCTCAGTCAATGGGTGATTGTCCTGAATCATGAAGGTTTGCAGATTAAGCCCCTACCCCTTTTCGACTTGCTTGCCTCATTTACTCGAGGTTTTGACATTTGTAATCAGCAGGGAGTTTCACCAATTTGCATGCACGCACTAAAACAGGTAACAGGAAAAAACAAAGTACTTTGCAAGACAGAACAGGAACATTCTTTCCAAGCCAAACCAGCAACAAAATTTTGCATCAAAAGGCACACAAGCAATCTCCCAAATTAGAATACATTATGGAGCACTGACCAAGGCTATTGAACAGAGCTGATGCTTTTAAGTTATTTCATTTGCTGTATTCCAGTTTGCATTGCAGAGTGTGAACTTCAGAATTTTTGCGGCATTATTTTTGCAAACTGAGTCATGGCAAGCAAGCAGCTGAGTCAGCAGTCAAAGCTGAGTCTCTTCTAGAAGAGCTTAAATGCACTGAATTTCAGCTCAACTTTGTACAAAGATAAAGATTTCACCTTAAAGTTTCAGGTCCTGAAGCTCAAAAAGAGATGATTAGATATGCTTTACTTCAAAAGAGGATACAGGGCTAGATGGACCTTAGTCAAACTCAGTGCCATTATTCTTTTATGAAAAAACAGAACTCTGTTAAATGAGAAAACGAAAACAAATACAACAAAAAATGTGAGTTGAGCTATGTGTCTTTTCAAAGCCCTCAGCCTCTGAGACAAAAGCATCCTTGTGTGCTGCACCAAACCCTTGACAAACTCAGAGAGAGGAGAAAAGTTGGGAACCCCTGAATGTTCTTTCACCCACCTTGCAGGACAAGTATAACAGCATGGTTGGATTTCCAAAGAAGGTAGTCGCTCACCAGAAACCACAGTGAAACCAAACTAGGCATCATCTAACCTTATTATTTTGTGAACAACTGAAAACAGGTGATGCATATCAAGGACTGACAGAAACAGCATGGTTTCTACCTTGCATTGCACGGATAAAATGGAAGACAAGATGATGATAAGCAGCCGGGGAGCAAGTACCAGCAGAACTATGGACATTCCCAGTCTTGTGGTCAGGTAGACTTTTTGTTAGGATTTGGATGTATTTTCCCTACTTTGCACATCCAGCCAGAGGAGCTGAATCTTTACTCCAGTTCCCCTCCTCTCTTTCATGTAAAAATTCTCCACTTGTAACTAAGAAATCTGAAAACTATAGAGCTCAGCATCATTCAGTTTTGCCAGTTTAGTCAGATGCAAGGCCACAGCCTGTAGCTGGAGGTACCAGAAGGGAAATTATTTTCCTTCCCCTCTCTGCTGCCAACCTGCTTGGGTTTGAAAAAAAAAAAAGAGAAAAAAAACCCCAAGAAAAATAAAACCCAAACCAAACCAAACCCAACGAACAACCCACTCTTTACCAGACATATTATTATGCTTTCCCTTCTGTCTTCACTAGACTTTGCATCCAGGTAATGTTTTGTAACACTGAATATTCTTTTTTTGCTTATAGCTCCATAGTGCTTAAACATCCCCTGTTTCAGCACTTTGTACTGTACCTAGAGGAAAGGAATAAACAACGTTCACACAAATCAGGTCTGCTACTGTAATCTCTTTTCAGTATCTTTGAATAGACTGGGTTTTTCAGAACTAAAAACACCTAAAAAGCCTTCTGGCTGATTTCAGCATAGCTGTCCAAGTTATCTTTATTTCCTAGGATAGGCAAACGAGCTTAATTTTGGGGTAGTAGGGGTATGTGGTCTGTCCCTCTTTTCCCATTAAAAGACATTAAGGGGTGTCAAAAATTTGGCTAACAATAAACCATCAACTGTCTCGGCATCATATAGTTTGAAAATTAGAAATGATCCATAGAAGCAGTAAGTTGGTTTTTTTTTCACCATCTCTGAAGCCTTTGAATCAAAGCCAACAGACCTGAGAGGTTAGACTTAAAAAAGTTAAAAAAGGGCTGCTTGCTGCTAGTTGTTTCTGCTGAACTTTCTTCTATTTCAACAGAGCTAGATAGACTCAGTGCTTTAAAGTCAGGTCTGAAAGTGTCTATATTTGGCTACAGTCAAAGACTTGCATTGTTTTAACTTGAGCTTTTGAAGTAGATATTGCTCTGGATCAAAGGACCAAAAGAGCAGCATAGGAAGGCACGACAGCAGAAGGCAGTGCTCAGACCAAGTTTTGCAGGAAATCATTGTGAGTTCATTATCAGGTTCTTGTGTTCTTCAGCACACCAGATCTACCTATTCATGATTAGTGCAAACCACATCCTAAAATAGAGAGGGAAAAAAGTAAAAAAGCTTGAAAGAAGATATGTGTATGCAGGATTCAGACCCATCTCTCAGAGCCTTAAGTCTTTCAGAAAGCCTTGATGGTACATCAGAGTGTTACAACACCCAGAAATAAAATTTAACATGCAGAAGAAAAGAAAGGAGTGCAAATTTTTCCTCTGTGCAGTTTCTGTCTTATCCCATACATATCTGCTGTGAAAACAGCAACCAACATTTGCAGCAAACAGGAGAAAGGTTACAGTCTGAAGCTCAGCAACAGGCAGGAGGACATGAGGAAGGTTAAGAGTAAGCCATCAGTTTCTTTTTCCTCCTCCTCAATAATTCTGCCTATGATTCAGATGGCCCCTTCACCCATAGCACAGGAACATATCCAGATCCTGAAGCCATGAGAAACAACACACAGCAGTTGACATTCTCCCAAGGTAAGTGCTTTCAGAGATTATTCACAGATTTCACAGAAAGTGCTACTGCACAAGTCCACAACCAGGGGAGACTTCTGGCTAAATTTGGACTAGACCTCCATAAAGAGTGTTCACTCTGTACACCTGATGAAGACTGGTGGAACTTGCAAAACCGAACCTCTGAATGGGATTTGGAAGAAAGGAGACAGCTGGAAGCACAAGCAGGCATTTTTATCCAGTTTGCAAACTAGCAGTGGATTGGAGATAACTCCATCTCAGACAAACAAAAACACATCGAAGGAATTTTTTTAATTTCTCCACACATAAAACTTTCCTACTACAAGAAGAAGAATCAGCAAGAGTTAAGAAAAAAACAGGAAACAGAGAAGAAAAATTTCTTAGCTACAGCATCAGAGGCATGACCCTCAATTGTGAGGCATTTGCCCACACTGCGCCCAGATCCATCCTCTGGCCCACAACCACAGAAAAGACTGAAAATGCTCAGTTAGTATAGAAGCATAAGCTCTACAGAAGCACCAAGTTTAATAAAACTAGTGCATATACTTACAATGAAGAAGGAAACTTAACAGGAAAATCCTTTCAAACCGTAGATATTGGCTGCATTTTTCTACTGGATTTGCATTGGTATTCAACAGGTTCACTCTACTTAACAAAGGCCCATTCTGCTAGAGTTTCAAACTCAAATCCCATGTCCATTAAGGAGTCTTTTTTTCCCCCTCTTCTTTCCCCCCACAATTTTTAAAGGCTAAATTTTAGGCATGCAGCTGTAGGCACACCACCAAAGTGCAAGATCGCAATCTTATTGCGATGCTTGCACAGCGTCTGCTGTGAACGTGTGCGGGGGAGTCTCACGAGCCAGACTGTGCTTGCCATTACACCTCTGCAGAGTTAGAAGTGGGACCTTCCTAAGACCCTGGCTTGGGAGTTCTATATATACTTGCCTCCTGAGGGACAGGTGTATGTGCTAAAGCCCAAAACAGGAATTGGTAAATACTTTCCCAATTTCTTGGCCATCAAGACCATATATCCTACTGAAAGGGGACTGCATGACCAAGGGCCTGGAATAAGCACTGGTTCTGTGAAACTTCTTGAGGTAACACACAATTTCAAGATTTCCTCCAGAACTGGGGAAGTTCATTACTCCCGTATTTAATAACATAACAAGCAACAGGGAATATCTTCTGAAAAGGGATTTTTAAACATACACACTTTATTCAGCAAAAGCATAACAAAGATCCCTGTGAAATACGTTTCCAACATTTTTCCATTCAGCCCTTGGCATCAAGTTCCAGGATAATCTCTTCCTGCCCAGTTTTGCCTTCTCATTGAAGAACCTTTAAAAGAGACCCTATTCTTTTGTAGCTTCCAGTTCCTTTTGTCACCTGATCTGCCAGCCAGGACCTTGGGGTTAACTGCCATGTTTTTAAATCCCAGCCTGCAAGACAACTTTCTTGTAACTCGGTCATTTCTTTCAAAAAATGCTGCTGTAGCACATGGACCAAGCTATTCAGGAGCTGGTCACCCTTTCACATTCTTGCCATGTCTTGTCTCTGTTGCTCTGCACCTGTGTTACTCTGCAAATCCAGTCCACAGGGAGATAAAAGGGTAATAGAGAGGGCACAAAACAGCCTCAGAGCACAAATACATACTTTGTGTTGGCTTTGGACAGTGAAAGTGATAACTGCCTTACATACAGCAATGAAGACTTCAGTTAGTTGTTGACAAGTTTCCCAACAGTACTCACTGGAATAATTTGCCTAGGATAGCCTGGAGTCGCCATCATAAGAAATCTTGAAGAACAGGTTAAACAAACACATTGGGAATAATATTCAAGATACAAATGATGTTTCCTTAGGTTAGAGGGGCAAAGGGCCGGATCACCTCTCGCAAACCTTTCATCTTGTATTATCTGTTAAAATGATATTCACAGTCTGGAAAAGACATACAAGAACAGATTAAAGAGAAAATATGGGGACTGCAAATCTTTCAGCAGCTCCGTTGGGAAGTCATGTTAGAGTATTTGCAAGTGAAAAAAGGGAGGATGATGAGCGACTGCAAAGTCCTGTAACAGAAAACATTCTCAAGTAGCTTCCTGCGGGTACAGACAGAAATGGTTAGTAAATAACCAAGCTGCTGCCAGAGGCTCAGGTTAGGATCTGTCAGCACTGTGAACTACTTGCTCAAATACGGATGGATCTTCAGGAAAGGCATCCTAGGAAAAGTGTCAGAATATCCATTTTACACACACAGAGGTGCTGTTATCCCCAGTGATTTTAGGATATCCAAAATGAGAAACAAAGGGACTGCAATAGTCTGGAGTCAGCCATCTGATTATATCAAAGGGACAAAGTCCATCCAAACAGAGCAGATTCCTTCTCCTTGCCATCCAAACTTAGGGTTTAGTTCAGAGGATGCTTTCTCAGCCTGTAAAATACAGTATCACCTCCTTCAGAGTACACTGTAAACCCAGTATTGTTCTTCTGTAATTGCTATTTTTGAACACCTGACATAGCAACATTATGAACATAAGGGATAGAGTAGCCTTGCACGTAGGTTAAGAAATACAATTCAACTATATAGTGCACACTATTCACCAGTGTGCTTCTCTTTGCTCATTCATCCCAAATAATGTCATTTAAAGGTTTTCATTCATGCACAGGCAGGATTACAGTCTAAGCTTACAAACCCCACTCCAGGGTTGAAAAAAAAACACCCCAACATCTGTGCTGAGCCCCTACAGCTAAACTTTACACGCCCCTACAGAATTGCAAGGATCCACATACCCTCCAGATGGCACCAGTATAAAACCTGCTTTTTACAGACTGATTCTGACTAAATACCAAGTTTGCAGTGACCACCAAAATCAGAGAATGCTGTGCTCATTACTCAACAGTTGTGTCAGCAAAGCACTTGCACATTCCCAAGGAGATGCAGCAGGGAGGATTTGAGGACCCACAGTTTTAGTATTAGGAACATTCCTTCTTTCCAGGCCTTCACAAGGCAGCTGGCTCCACCAGACAGACCATCCTGCTGAACTTCAGCATATGGAATGGTTCATACAACTACATCACAGACACTAGCCAGGGATCTGACAATGCTTTCACATCACGCCTTTCAAAAACAAACTGAAACTAGACACACCAGTGTCTTGCCCACTGGGTCAAGGTGAACCAGGTAACTCCCCACAGCTCCCCTTATGCATTTTCCCTCAGTCAGAAGGTGTAGCACTAAATCTTTTCTCTTTCGTCCGTCCCTCCCTGGTGGTCCGTGTGTGCTCCTTGCGGGGTCGCCGGGCCACGTGCAGGGGCGGGGGGAAGGGCATTCACCTCGCAGGTTATGGGGCCAGCATCCTAGGGCCTGGAGGTCTCCCCAAGAAGGTTTCATTCTGATTTCACTTCCATCTCGGACGTGGCTGACAGAACCTATCTGAGGATAGGTTAGAAAAACTGACCTGCCTGAGACTGAAAAGGAGCAAATGCCACGCTGTCCTGTTTTGTGTCACATACTCAGTCCCAGCAGGACTGCATGCCAAGGCTAGGAAACACAGGATAAGTCCCAGCCACGTAGTGGCAGCAGTGTGTGGGCACAGTGACCCCGTGTGCAGCACGGGCAGGGTAGAACACCCTGCTACAGCACATACAGACACACCCTTGGGTAAAGCAGCAGTAACTGGCAAAGGTTCTTCTTAGTAGTGCTATATACTCTGAGGCTCCTTTGTCACAGGGACCTCTCTTCTGCACAGTCAAATACAATCTCTAGCAGTGTTTCATGTAGGTAGACCACGATTAGGAATCAGGGCCACAACTCTCAGGTCTTCTCTGTAGACAGAAGACCACTTCACTGAAAGCAGTAAATAGGCAGGTGTGTCAATGAAGTAGTCTAGAGCCCTACTTGAGAAACTTTAAAACCATTCTTTCCATGTTGTTATTGTTATTCTTAGATCTAATCAGAGGTGTGTTTGTAATTATTGATACAAAACCTTTTTACTTGCAACACTACACAGTTATGGCAACAAGTTTCATGGATACACTACGTTTTCACAAGTACAGTGTAAAGCAAAATGGAGTGAAAACCAAAATTCTGCTCTCCTCACAGCACTAACTGCCAGAAAAATAAAAATACTCCTGGCTGTAAAGCACTGAACTGTTGTAGAAATAATATGTCATTCTGCACACAGCTGGAAATAACTTTTCTAATTTTAATAACTTTAATTAACCTTTTGATTAGTTGTTTTAATTAATCATAGATGCTGTGTTAGGCCTTAAATCATTTTTACCCAGTGTTTAGCAAAAAATTGTTATGAGCTACTTTTGTGAGAACGTAGCTTGGGAAAAGTACTAAAACTTTAAGTTTTGTTAAACTAACTTTGATATGGTTCAGTGAACAAAGCCTGAGAAAGACATGCTGTTGAAGCTGGACATCTGGAATGAACTATAAGGACATTTTGCAGAAACCAGCAGATAAAGAAAAGAATAAACAAATAATTCAGTATACGTGCCGGAAGGTCCCTACCAGAGGAGAAGGATACTAAAAAGACTAAAGATGTGGACTTAATTAGCATAGAAAGTGGGAAATTAATAAGTAATAGAAGGTAGAATACTAACTAATGAAAGAGAATTCTGTAATTAAGAACCAATGAATATTAATTTGTTTGTTAAAAATGTATGAATAGGTGAAAAAGTGGTGTATTGGTGTCTGTGCAGAGGCAGGAGTTTTGTCGGCCACATACACTCCCAGTGCTGCAAATAAAGTAATGCCTTGCTTTCTAACAGCACTTCAAGCCACAAAACCCATAACTAATTTGCAACTAATTCTGTTTCATTCCTTACCTTCAAGGCCTGGCTCTGAGGTAATTAATTCTTAATAATTAACTGCACACAGAGCATGTTCCAGGGTCTCCATAGGGATGGTGCCACAAAAGAAAAATTGTGTGCAACTGCCATTTTTTAACACTAAAAAGGCAATTCTGTAATTGCCTTCGAACACCAAAAAAGGCAACTCTGGGGTCAGTGCAGACCACTTTATTCCAAGAATGAAGTGTGTTTGGTACTGAACACACAGCCCTCAATCATTAGAATTGGCATTTGAGGTGAGAAATTACAAGTACAAGCTCTCTGTCTCGGGTGAACCACATCAGTCTGCTCTGAAAACCCATCAAACACGTCAAACACGTAGCAGACCTGAAGTAGATACTGAAGCTCCTTTTCACCGCCTTCTCTGGTGACAGTATTGATCCTTATCAGCTGAGAAGAAATAGTCAGGTTTTTGCATTGGTCATCTCAGAAAACAGTGGCACCTTCAGTGTCCACTCAGCCCATCACAGCTACTTCATTTTGTTTACTTTGTACACATCTTCATAACACAGAAAATAAATAAGATGTCAACAAGAATAACTCCTCATACGTAGAGAATTTACAACCTCATTTCTTCCTTAGTACTGCTAATAATTCTTCCTCCTCCCTTTTTTCCTTCTCAAACACACAGAGGAAAAATTTAATCTTTAAAGAACCATTTTAATAATGTCAGACAAAAATCAAAGTAAGAAACCACTGATTATGAAAATACTTGATTCCATCATATTCTGTTGTTTAAATATCACCAAGGAGTTTGCATGACTGACATCAAAACCATAGGAATCAAAAAGAAGATTCTGTCTGCTCTAGAAAGTCAGCTGTACTGACAGAGTTTGTGCACCTTTGCAAATATCAGGCACTTACAAAGACCATCAGTTTACTGGAACAAAACAGATAACTAAAGAGAAATAAAATTCTTTAACTCAAAACATTCCACTTCCAAGGTGCTGGCCTATAAAAAGCAGGTACTCCATGTCCATTAGGAAAAAAAAAAAAGAAAATAAACATAAAAAGGATATATTAGAGGAAAAATGGCTCATTTTAAACCTACAGGTTAGTTAGAGGCCAACCAAAACAGCCTAAATTTTTCATATGTCATTGTACTTCTCAATTTACTTTAAGTTTTCAGGGATAGCAGAATAGAAGCAGTAAACTGGCTTTCTAAGAGGGGACAGATGCAGAGTACAAGGTCTCTCTCCATTTTACTGCTGTTTGGACCAGCAGGCATTTGAGTGCTCTCTTCTGCAGCTGTTCTCAGCTCCCGTAAGAAACCAACTAAAATTTTCCCAAAGTCACTTGTACAGAGGTCATAAAAAAAATGAGGTCCACTCAATGCTGGCAGTGAGCCCAATCAGACTAAAACAATGTTGATACTAACCAGGTGATAAAAGAAGCTAAAAGTGTCTTGTCTGTTGGCAGCTCTGAGCTACCAGTTCCACAAGTGAAACCAGTAAGCCAGCAGGGGCTGTGCACCCCTTTTGTAGGCTCCTCTCTAGCTGCAAAACACGGTAAAAAAATAAGTGTCAGAAGGTTACTGTAGTGCAAGCAGTGTACATTTTTACTAGACTGATGCAAACATTACCTTCCAGTTGAGTTCAATTTCACAGTCCAAGACAAATGTTAAAGCTGCAGCTTTTATTTTTAGAAAGAACTTCAATATTTACCTCTGAGAGATTTAAAAAAAAAGTCTTTGAAGAATTTAAAAAGTTGCCTCAGCAAAGCAACTTCCCATTTTTAAAGACTTGGTGTCAAATCAGTATGATTTGATGGAAAGGGAAGTAAAGTGGGGGAAAGACACAAAAACACTCAAATCATTATAGATGGGTCAGCCACATGTCTCTAACGAAGAGCTGGTGGTCATAACTTTCATATTGTGTGGTTGCATTGATATTAGGTTCATCTACAAATTCTATTTCGCACGCCTGAGTGCTGCAAGGAGATCTCTCCAGCTCCAAGACTGTTATGTTGTTTGGCACCGATGAAACAAGTACATTCCTTGGAACATAAAGGGTCAACTGAGGACCACGGGCTGGCCAGTAGCGACCAAGATTAAAGCCATTGATCCAAATTTGCCCCTGTTAAGAGAGAAAGATAAAACAACAACATTTTAATAATTCGTCAGAGATCAAATGACAAAATAGCTTTGAGTATAACGCTCTTCATATAGTAATTGAATTTCCTTCATCTTTCAGTTTGATAGAACACAAGGACAGAAAATCTGTTTGAGAAAATGCTAAAGACAGTCAAAAGAATCTAAAGTCCCTGAGCAGTTAAAGCTATCATTAATATTTAAAAAGAAAGTGGTCAAATACTGCAGCAATTCCAAATATGACAATACTTAGGAAAACAATTGCAGGTTCCTCGCACTGAATTTTGCACCAAGTTTAAGATCAAAACAAACCTGAAAATTGTATTTGCTTGAAGCTGATTGTTAAAAGGAGAAAAAACTCACAGAAGAAAAATGCAGATGCTAATTCTGTTGTGGCTCTCTGTACAAGTGTAAGACTACACTACCTTGGTAGTCCTTTCCTGTTTCTGTGATTTCATGGAAAAGCTATAGCTTGTCTAGACACATGAAACTCAGATGTCTC